AGCCAGCTCATCTGGGTCTCTATCATGAAAAGTACGACTTCTCTTTCCCTTTCTCTCCTTCCCGCTCTAAGTAACAGAACGGAAGTGCAGGTGGCAGCAGAGTGTCAGCAAGGCCACTCAGCATGCCCCATCTCCTTTGCTCAGGACTCTTTAGGAAAATAACTCTGATGGCGGGCGAAACTGTAGCCTCCTGAAATTCTCTCCAGCATTTGCATTATTGATTAGACAAAGTGCGTGCTGGTCTCCAAGGCAGTTGACTGTACAGCCAAAATGAGTTGCTTAACTCTGCTTACGGTTTTGCAGAAGGGAATCAGATCTGGTCTGTGCTGTGGGTGAAGGGAATTGTTTTTCCAGCTGAACTTCGCTCCTTAGATGCCACACATGTCTTCCATCCCTTAACAGCTATTCACAGGGCGTGCACTGTTGACTCTACCCGCAGCGCAAGCAGGGTTTATCAGGGGGCCATCGACTCTTCTAGGTAAGTCCCCGGTACAGTAAACATCTGCTGCAGAACTGGAAAGAGCCGGTTCAAGCCAGTCGTTCTTCGTTTCACTGGGCAGTCTTGGTTTTGATGATTACCTTATTCTTAATTTTCGGTACATGTTGACCATTTAATGTATTCTTCTTAATGGCTCCATTGTTTATCATCCTATAGATGTTTCTTAATTCACTTAACTGATGTTTCATTATGGATATTTTGGTAATTTCCAGATATGTACTTCTGCACAAATATGAAAATAAATATAGGTTACATTCCTAGAAATGATACTGCTCATTGCTATGGCCTATTCTTTACAAATAGTACCAGTTTACACTTCTACAAAAAGCCTATGTGTGATGAGTCTTTCCCCCATACCCTTATCACCATAAATTATTATCAATTTTTTGGTTTTTATCAATGATAGGTGAAAAAAGATATTTCATTGTTTTGACATGTACTTATCTAATTTTGAATGTGTTGCGTATCTTTTCTGACCCTTCGTAGATTAAGGAAATATATTTCCTAATCTATAGGGTAAGGAAAGTCTCTTAGTTTCTGAAAGGTGTGGTATTTGTAGCAGGATATTAGCATTCAGATTGCTTTAATCTGTAAATCTGTTATCCCTCCCTTTTCCCTACACTGCAAAGCTCTAAGGCAAATATTTCCCCCGCCTCCAATAAAAATGCCTTTTAGGAAAGTGGACTTCATTTTTCTGTTAATTTTGGTCTAACATCCTATTGTAACTCATACTGTGAGAGGAAAAGAGGCTTTCTCTGAAAACCTTAAAAGATTGTGGGAATTGAGGGAAATGGAGAGAAGGCAGTATGATGCCCATGTGCAGGGTGCAGGAGCTGGAAACTGATCCCCAGAAGTTGCCACAAAAGGGAAAAGACCTGCTGCCTGGGAAAGGAAGAGGCAAGTAGCGCCTAGCAAGTACCATGTTAAGGGATAATGAATGTGTCCATGCCCAGAAGTTGCCTGACGTCTCTGGCAGTGCCTGGAAGCTCACATCATCTCTGCTGGGTGCACTGTGCTTCCTGGCACCGTTGACTCCCAGCGTCATAGCTTACAGTGGAATAGTGATTGTCGAAGAATGGTGATGCTCCTGGTGCTTACTCCAAGGTTTTGCTTGGTCCCCAGCTGCATACAGCTCCCTCTCATAACACTTGGAAGCCCAAGAAAATTGGGTGGAATGGAACTCTGAATCCCAGTCTCATAGGTGAGCCCCACCTTCATAATATCTGCATAAAAGGGAAGAGAGTTGAACTAAGATGGCTCAAGATCCCCTCCTGGAACAGTAGTTACTAACCTTGTACACATTATTCCCCTTTGACTTTACCTCTGTTTAGAGGATTTTGAGTTTTGTGCAGACATTTAAATTTTTTTGCATGGTAAAGTTGATGTTTTTTTCTTTAATGACTATTCTTTCATGCATTTATGTTTAAAATCAACCTTTGATCAACCTTGAACTTGTTTTAAGAGATCTACTTTTTTCTTTCCATATGATTGTCCATTATTAAACAGTCCAGTTTTTCTTCACTGACCTGAAATACCCCCTTTATCATACATTAACTTCTATTGATCTTTCTTTTCTTTTTTTTTAAATGCACATATCCAGTGGCTTTAATCGCTCCAGCTATGTTACATATAGTGATTTTTTTGGCAAGGCTACACCTTCCTGACTACCTCGGTTTTTCTAATTTTCCTGTAACCCCTATGGTTTTTCTCCTGATATGAACCCAAGAGTTTGCATGTCTATTTTCCCTCAATTCTAATGATATTTTTCACTGGGATTATATGATAATTATTAATCAATCTAGAATAACTTTGCATCTTACAAGATTGTGTCTTTGTCTTCATAAGCATGTGTAGATGTATTTGTCTTAATCTGTATCCTACAGTAGCACCCTCAAATTCCCTTCAACAGCTCTTGTACATTTCTTGTTAATTTTTTCCAGAGCTACTTAATCATTATGCTGAATCTGTAAGAGATCTTTACTTCCACTATACTCTCAAAATACTTGTAAAGTTTATGTAGAAAACAATGACTTACATATATAATTAAGATTTATTCATTTATTTATTTCATCTATCAAGCTGTTGTACGAGCATCCACTCCTGGAGCACGGAGTTCGGGACCGGGTACTAAACTTAAGGAGAGACTTTGGTGCTGGAGTGTGGCCGGAGGAGAGTCATCGTGAGGGTACAGGGAATGGGAACCAAGTCACTTAATTATATTACACTATATTATGTACACTGAATGCCTGCTATATGCCAGACACTCTTCCTAAGTATCTTGTTATTTTACTTAATCCTCATAGTAATCCAATGAGGATGGTTCTGTTGTTAACCTCATTTAAGAGATGAGAAAATGAAGGTAGAAAAGTTAATTGTCCAATTCACGGTGCTAGTATGGCAAGGCACATCTTAGAAGTCTATGTCTTTGGTTGAGGGAAATGAGGTAGAGTAAGTATAGAGAAGCATGACACCTACCTTCAAATTTTTGAAACTCTCTCATATGGAAGAAACCATAAATTTTTTTCTTTGGGTGCCCAGAGACCAATATGTGGACACATAGGCAAGAGCTATTGATAAGTAGATTTCTGGCTAATGTACGTAATAACTTTCAGAGAATGAAATATATCTTAAAAAAGAATATGTGATCTTGCAAGGTAGTGAGTTCCGACTGGAAAAGTCCAAACAGTGATTGGATGGCCTTGGTTGAAGATGTTGGCAAAGCTACTCAGGCTTAGTGATTTGTATTAATCATCCTTAAGGACCCCCAGGGCCTTGGGAGGATGGTAAAGGATTTACCCTTTAATTTCCAGTACAGTGGGGTTATGGGTACAGCAGCAACATTTAATGAGTTCCAGGTTATCTACCTCACAAAAACAGGATTGAAGGGCTGATTCATATTAAGCAAAGCTGATAAAATCCATGAAACTCCACAACAGAAAAATTGGATAGCATCTAATAAAAGCAGCAGCAGTGTATATGATAGTGGTTGTGCAGTACAGTCCTTGTGAACATGGATTCCGGAGCCAGACCATGTGGGTTCAGATCCCAGTTCTACCATTTACTAACTATGGACCTCAGTCTCCTCACATTTAAATTACTGCGTTAAAAACACTCTCATATGGCACCTGGGTGGCTCAGTGGGATAAAGCCTCTGCCTTCGGCTCAGGTCATGATCCCAGGGTCCTGAGATCAAGCCCCGCATCGGGCTCTCTGCTCAGCGAGGAGCCTGCTTCCCTCTCTCTCTCTGCCTGCCTCTCTGCCTACTTGTGATCCATGTCTTTAAAAAAAACAAAAACAACAACAACAACAAAAAAACACTCTCATATTTTAACCCCTGTAAGGGACAAATGAGTGTAAATAGATAGGTGGATGGATGGATGAATGAATGGCTGGTTGGATAAATAGAGTGTGAGAATGAGAGAGAAGCAATAACCTGAAAACCTAATAAATGTTTGCTATTATTTTTCCAAAGGATTTCCATGGTATTTTAAATATTCAAACACAATAACAGTAAATCATCTTTAATTGTATAAATTGTCACAAACTAATACATTGTTTTGGAAAAAATAAAGAGAGGCACATGGCAAATAACACAAACCTAAGTCAAGAAAATACTAAACTATGATAGATTAGAACTCTGACTCTTAAAATGTTCTTCTAAAACTGTCGATCTATTTTTATTTATTTTAACAATCAAAAATAAGTATTTCATTGAGCATCTAGAGTGTCTATTACTAAGGACAGCACAGTGCTAAATACTTTAAGGAAAAATATAAGAATATCACATTGTCATTGTCCTTAAGTAGTTTATAATTTAGCTATTTGTGATTATAACGACACATTTTTTAGATTTATGTTTTTTACTGAGGGTGGAGGGGCAGAGGAAGAGCTAGAGAGAGAATGCCAAGCTGGTTCCATGTCAAGTGCAGACACAGGGCTCACTGCTGGGCTGGACGTAGGGCTCGATCTCATGACCCTGAGATCATGACCTGGGTGGAAATCAAGAGTCAGATGTTTAATTGACTGAGGTGCCCCTCAGTCAGGTGCACCTCTTAAAGACACATTTTAAAAATGTGCCCCTCAGGTGCCCCTCTAAAGACACATTTTAAAAATTCTAGGACTTAACACCTTTTTTTTTTTAAAGGACCTAACACTTTTAAGTAAAATCATCTCTGAAAGTAATCACTTTGAAAAGTTATACACTTACTTCAATAATTCTGCCATTGTTCAAAACACTTTTTGCATCTATCCCTTTGGGATTACCCTTGGAGTCATTATACAAGTAAGTCATGTAAGAAAAGCAGACTCATTGCTCCTCCATCTTCCTCCAGCACCTAGCTTAGTTGCCTGAATTCACCAGTAGATTTGGTGTTCAGTGACTTCTGGTTATTTTAACATCTCAGATTGACCCTAAAAGCCAAATTTTGCTATTCTTGATGACCTTCCAAAGAATGGACCATGACGTTACTGGACAGTAAGTAACTGGAGGACCAGGGACCTGTCTCATTGTCTTTGCATCTCGGGCAGCACCAGTTGGGTGCTCATCCACAGCAGGAAGGCAAGAGGCATATGTTGACCTGAACTGAAGGTCCAGGAGCACATTAGCTGTTCAGCTGGAGACAGCAGGGTGCGCTGAGGGTAAAGGCAAGTAAGAGTTCCAGATGGGACTTGAGGGGGATTTCTTTCTGTTCTGTCATTTCACTGTTTCCTCTCACCACTCCTTAGGTGTCCAGAAGGACAGAAAGCTCTGCCTGAAGCTGGCAGCAGATTTTCCCAATACTCCCTCTAGTCCTGTGTTTGAAAAAAATAATTTAAAATGTTTACCTACTTTATAAGTCCAATATGTTTTATATATATATATATATATATATATATATTTGTGTGTGTATATATATTTATATATAAATATATATATGTATATGTATATGTGTGTGTATGTGTGTATATATATATTTGCCAAATACACACAGAACTTCAGTTTCAACCTACAGACTAAAAAACTATGTCCATTAATGCCTTTCTCACATTTCTATCAAAAGCAAGCATTGGGTTTCATAACACCTTTCAGAAAAAGATGTGTTTGAAATCTGGAGGTATTTAGAATCACCAGGAAGGACAGCTAGACACGACCCCCTGCTGAAAAAGCCAGGATCTGAAAGGGAAGTAGCAGACAGAGAAGAATGCAATGCCTGTGGCATGAGAAGTACAGACCCAAAGTTCCCAGTGGAAGCCTGTAAGGAGCACTGGTGAAGACCTGCCAGGCCCAGAAAATGCGGTCTTCCTGTTAGGCTGCCAGCCAAGTACAAGCAGTTGACTCCGCTTGCCATCCTCTCTTCTCTCCCCTTGAATCTGAAGAGGTCAGAAATCCTGGTTAGCAAGATAGGAAGAGAGGGCTGGAAGCATGAGACAGAGAAAGAGAAGGATCAGGCTGGCCAGGCCTTCCCTAGTTGCCTGCCTTTTGAAGGCAACTGCTGGAAAACCAGAGAAAATACAAGTTTTCATGTGTTCCAGATTTTGATTTTACGTGGAACTGAACATTTAAAAAAAAATTGGCCTCCATGCCCTGTGTGGACATGCCAATGCAGGGCTTGAACTCACAACCCTGAGATCAAAACCTGGGCTGAGATCAAGAATCGGATGCTTAACTGACTGAGCCACACAGGTGTCCCTGGAACTGAACACTTTTAATTCCTGAATTAAGACTATGTTTGCTAAATAAAGTGGTCATGGAGCTTTCCGTTGCCTAATATGGACCCAGTGAAGTCCTAGGGCATGTCAGTATTTTCAGATAGGGAGAAAGGATAGACTTCACCCAATGAGCAGGTTTAAAGAGACAGAGGAAGACAAAAAGAAAGTTGCCTTCTGATTATTATATTTCATGAATCCTGTTTGTTTAATATAATTGTAATAATATTGTTAATGTTATTTACTAGCTTTACATTTTTATAATAAATCTATAAAGCTTGAAAGACTTAATTATATTTATAGAGCAGAACACAATGGTTCTAAACCTTGACAATTTAAGAGTAATGGCGTAACTTATGCCAAGAGGTAGATGAGGGAGGAAGAGTAGAGGGGAGTGGAAAGAATTAATTCTTATTTTACAGAGTGTAAGTAAGAGATGTTGCTTTACATCAATGGATTAAGGAAATGGGAAGTTAAACAGAAAATTCAAACTTATAAAGATAATGAACAGAAGAAGTAAAAATGTAATCAAAATTGGGAAAAGTAAAACAGGGAGAAAAGGGGAATGTTACATGATTTAAATGCTTGAGGCTTTGTAAAGGGTTAGCAGTAATTACAGCTTAAAATTGTAAAACCAGACATTAGGTATAAGACTTAAAAACACAAGCAGCAAACAGGTCATTAACTCTGGGAATTGGAAAGGTGTCAGGAGAGGGGCGGCCATAGTTTTAATCTTATACACTCTATACTTTTTGAATATTTATTGCATGCATAGTGTTTCTACCAATAAATAAAATGAGGTTAGAGAAAAATAGTGATTTTAATTAAACAATTCCCACCTGGCTCAAATCCAGGGTTTGATGTGCATATTAAGGCTACTTCTCCAGCTGCCATGTTTGTCTGAAGCTGGGGCCAGAAATCCCCCGCCTGGGGCCAGAAATGTACCAGACCCCTAGGTTGTAGGCCTCTTTGGCATATTTTTTAATATCCCATCTGGTTCCAACTCTGGGCTCTAGTCCTGCAACACAATGATCACAGAATTTCTGTCACTGACCCTACATTCACATCATAGGCGCTCTGATGGGCGTCTTTTAAAGTTAAAACATTATTGGGATGTCTGGGTGGCTCAGTCTGTTAAGCAGCTGCCCTTGGCTCAGGTCATGATCCCAGGGTCCTGGGATTGAGTCTCACATTGACTTCCTTGCTCATCGGGGAGCCTGCTTCTTCCTCTGCCTGCTGTTCCCCCTGCTTGTGCTCTCTCTTTCTCTCTCTCTCTCTCTCTGACGAATAAATAAATACATAAAATATTTTTTTAAAGTGTTTTTTTTTTGTTTTGTTTTGTTTTTGTTTTTTATTTATTTGACAGAGAGAGATCACAAGTAGACAGAGAGGCAGGCAGAGAGAGAGAGAGAGAGGGAAGCAGGCTCCCTGCTGAGCAGAGAGCCCGATGCGGGACTCGATCCCAGGACCCTGAGATCATGACCTGAGCCGAAGGCAGCGGCTTAACCCACTGAGCCACCCAGGTGCCCATAAAATATTTTTTTAAAAATAAAATTAAAATATGATGAACTTTAGATTATCTCATTTTTTTCATTAACATCGACTGTTTTTGGTCTTACTCTGTCTCTTTTCATTAGACTGTACCATAACTGTTCATTATAGCCTTTTCCATGTTGTCAGCATAAGAAAACATGAGGACAGGGCACCTGGGTAGCTCAGTCTTTAAGCGTCTGCCTTCGGTTCAGGTCATGATCCCAGAGTCCTGGGATCGAGTCCTGCATCGGGCTCCCTGTTCAGTGCGGAGTCTGCTTCTCCCTCTGCCACTCTCCCTGTTCCCTCTTTCATTCTCTCTGTCTCTCAAATGAATAAATAAAATCTTCAAAAAAAAAAAAAAAGAAAGAAAGAGAGAAAGAAAAAGAAAACACAAGGACCGCTCCTATGCCCTGAACTTACCAAAGGGATATTCTAGGAGACCCACAAACCCACCTTTGCCACAGTCAGGGGTGTGGAAGCCCAGGGCCTGCACCATCAGGTGTGCCTTCAAGCCTGCAGCCCTATAGGCCCCTCCTTCATGAGTCTCATTGTCTTCAAGCTGCTGCTGGGCCCAAAGCTGCAGCTCACGCCCACAGTGGCCATCCCTAGGCAAAGAAATAAAGAACTTGTACATTTTACTTATTTTATTCTTTAATAGTTGGAAATTGCCTTAGAGATTAGTTATCCTGCTCTACTTCCCAAGTTTTACCAAGAGGGAAACCAGTGCCAGTTAATTCTTTTGCTGAACTGCTCTCACAAGATTAAGTAACCTTTGTTAAATTTCTCAAACAAGAGCTGAATTGCTGACCACATTATGGGTCCGTTTACCTGCCTTCACCAGCTTAAGAGCACATTCTCCTGATGTCACACTGCGCTTGTCTCCGTCCGGGCCTATGTACATGGTAGCTGCCACTGGCTTACCAGATTCTTTTAAGACTTCCACGGCCCATACGGCTTCTTCAGCATGCTCAAAATACTAAGGGAGATTTCACTTTTTCTATTGGTCCAAATGTAAAGCAGATTTTGAAAGGTGAAATAAATATGTTGCAAAATCGTTGTAAGAATGACCAAGTATATGTGATAAAACTTAACTGAGGAACAGGTCTTCATCAAACTAAGGAATACTCTTCTGAGTAAACATTTTAATTCCTTTAACAGTAATATAAAGATTTGCATTCAGAGATCATTGATTCAGCAAGATGAAGACTGTTACGGAAAGAAACAGAAAAACAACACAAAGGTTTTTAACGTAATTGAGTATTTAAAATCATAATTTTGAAGGAACTAAGGGTTTTTTTTTTTTTGCTATCTTCTATTTATTTGAGAGAGAGAGAGCAGAGCAAGCGAGAACATGAGTGGTGGGGGAGGGGCAGTGGGACAGGGAGCTCCCCACTGAGCAGGAAGCTGGATTCAGGACTGGATCCCAGGATCCTGGGATCATGACTTGAGTCAAAGGCAGACACTTAACCTACTGAGCCACCCAGGTGCCCCAGGAATGAACATTTTAGAAATAAATATTATTATTATTTTTTAAGATTTATTTATTTGAGAGAGAGAGAGAGCACACCTGAGTAGGGGAAGAGGTAGAGGGCGAGAGAGAGAGAATCCCAGACAGACTCCTCACTGAGTGGACAGTCCATTGTGGGGCTGGATCTCATAACTCTGAGATCACAACCCGAGCTGAAACTGATTGGGGCACTTAACTGACTGAGCACCCAGGCGACCCTTACTAATAAATTTTATACTCCTCTTTATGGAGCTGGGGTAATCTCTGAAAAATAATGAATAGTTTATTATACTTTCTACTTCAAAGTGATTTTTTTTTAAGATTTTATTTATTTATTTGACAGAGATCACAAGTAGGCAGAGAAGCAGGTAGAGAGAGAGCAGGAAGCAGGCTCCCTGCCGAGCAGAGAGCCCGATGCGGGGCTCGATCTCAGGACCCTGGGATCATGACCTGAGCTGAAGGCAGAGGCTTTAACCCACTGAGCCACCCAGGTGCCCCTCAAAGTGATTTTATATTCACTTCTCTTTAGATGGGATTTCCCCCAATGAGACCGCTGTGGCACAGAGGAGGGAGGAATAGCTGCTGAGTTTGTCGAGGGTGGACAGGACACCTTGCCTGGTAAACCCAGGTCATTTGTAGGGGTCTTCCCAGGAATGCCCTTAAGGGCCACAGTTGAAAAGCTGACCTTAAGGAAGTGAAGAAAAGCCAGCAAAAATCTGTCTTCTTGACTTAGATTCTGCAGAAGCAATGTGTGAGGAATGGCAGAGAGAGTCCACAGAGAGGTTCTTAACAAAATGAACTTGTGTTCCCATCCGTCTGGAGAACCTATCAGGTGGAGTTTGTGCCCATCTGTGCAGGTGATTGTTGCCAAGTGCGTCTGCCAGGATTGGGTGGCCCTGAGCCTTGGGAAGTTTGGTGAAGCAAGCTTTTCAACAGATTCAGAGAGTGATAAGGGAAACAGCAGCTGGGAGATTATTGGCCTTGTTGGGGGTAGAGACTTGGGCTGAGAGTTCGACTCCAGGTGGTTGCAAAGATGGGAAATGGGGAATGAGGGCTTTTTCATTTTTAGAAGTGGAAGAAAAAGAATGTTCTGGGCCTTCATGTCCAATCAATGACCAATTCTCTTTCTTTCTTCAAAATATCCCTCATATGTTATAGCTTGAGTGAAAGCAGAGGGATGGGAGTGAGCACAGCATGGACAAAGGAGGGCAAGGAAACTTGCTGGTACTGAGTATTATTAGTGGGGCCTCATGAGCCTGACTAGCCACCTACCTCCTAAGCTTTGCTCACTCGAAGCCTCCACCCCCACACAGCTCTGTCCAGCCCTGCCTCTGCCACAGGAGAGGTTGCTCCCTGAAGCACTGTTCCCTTCTCACCCAACATTGTAGGGTCCCTTTGAGTCACCTGCTACAACCATCCAAAGAAAACCAAGGCTATGGCTGGGCCTCTTCTGGGTTCTGCCCTTGGACTTCACTAAACCCCAGCATGCAAGTGAGAGATGTTTGCCTTGACAGCAATGCATGTACATAAACCTTTGACCCTGTACCCTGAGGAAATGAGGGCACAAAGCAATCCAATACCCTCATGAAAGGTGAAGACTATATAGTGGGATTTGTCAGAAGAGGGTGACTCCTCTCCCTAAAATACTAGGCTTACCCCTGCAATCAAGAAGTCTGCATTTTTCTTGGTAAAAACCTCTAGCTGAAGTCGAGAGAAGTTTTTTTTTTTTTAATATTTAATTTTTTTTATAAACATATAATGTATTTTTATCCCCAGGGGTACAGGTCTGTGAATCGCCAGGTTTACACACTTCACAGCACTCACCATAGCATATACCCTCCCCAATGTCCATAACCCCACCCACCTCTCCCGATCCCCCTCCCCCCAGCAACCCTCAGTTTGTTTTGTGAGATTAAGAGTCACTTACGGTTTTTTAACTCTAGCTTCATCCTCGTGGTGTCTGCACACCGATGTCTGGCAGATCCCTCTGCTATTAAAGCATCACCTTTGCCAGCCACTTCCCCGGCAAGGTCACAGTCACCAGCGTTCACATCTTCCCACTGAGGTCAGAGAGCAAGAGTTTGGATGGTGAGCCTGGCATTATCACGGTAAATGTAATAGATAACAAAGGGGGCAATGAGCAAATCAGACAAGTCCCAGTCACGGTTTAAACTGCAGTTTGAGGGGGATGGGGTAACTGGGTGATGGACATTAAGGAAGGCATGTGATGGGATGAGCATTGGCTGTTATATGCAACTGATGAATCACTGAACTCTACCTCTGAAATTAATTATATACTCTATGTTAATTGAATCAAAATAAAATAAAATTTAAAAAACCCTGCAATTTGAGAAGACCAGCAGAGTTGGGGACCTTTTCCTTTCCTACCAGTGAGCTTATATTTCCATTAATGTACTCACCACATGGCATTTTAGTAAATGTTTGTGTTTGCCTCTCTCACTGGACCGTGAGCCACTTTCGAACAGGCTCCATGGCTTTCTTTCATCTTTGTTTTGAGCATAGAGATTGGACTATAACAGGTACTCAATAAATGTTGGTTGGTTGACTGAGTAAATGGGCATGAGCATTGACAAGTATGAACACTTTATATGTACACAGTATCACACAGTACTTACACGTTCTTCCCCGCTCTAGTTTTCTCAATAACCCTGTGCATTTAAGCATAAATGATCTCCATTTTGCACAGAGAAGACCAGTGCTCTGAGCAACCAAGCATCCTGCACAAAGTCACATGCCCAGCAGGTGGCAAAGTTGGGCATCAAACCCAATTCTTCTCATTCCCAGGCCAGTGCTGTGTTCCCAAGGACCACCCTATCTCTAGATGGACAAGTTAGAAGAGAAGATGGTTAAATAAGGTGAAAAGGGCATCTAGAAGTGTTTTCTCTACAGAAAAATAGCACAGGATAACCATTTCCTTCCAATGGCTTATTCCTTCCCAGTCCTATCTTCCCCTCCACCCCAGCTAAAGATGCAGAGAAAAGCTCATTTATGTAGTAAATATTCATTCACATAATAATTTCTTAATAAACATTTTATGTGGAGTTTGTTATTAGTAACATATTAAGTCAGTTCCATACCTTACCCTCAAGAGGTTATTTTTATTACAGATGATCCCTGACACTAAACCCTGCCCTCCTCCCACCCCCCATCTCCACCCCCACAAAAATGACAGTTTATCTTGCTATCTATATTGTCCTCACTGGCAGAAAAGGGAAAGTCTGCATGACATTTGATCCAGCTCTCAAGAATTCCATGTGAAGTTGACGAACTACAAAGTAGATTTTAAAATTAAAATTAAGGAGATAAAATTCATAGGAGCTATCATGTGCAGCAAATGCAGCTTATGCACTCACAATCTCTTTCAATCACACACAATTTCAAGACTGGTTCTAAAAAATTGCAGCTTAAGGTCAGTAGAGTTCAAGGACAGGAAATGGCAGAGTCAATACTAAATTGGGACTGTTTGGAGTGGCCTCATATTGTCCTGTCCATGGGCCTCAACGGTCTGGTGCAGCCATAGGCAGACATTAAGGTCTGGGTGACCAATTGCCCCTTGGTCTTTTGGTCTACAGAGGGTTTATTCATTTGCCTGTGTTGTGGAGGATGCGGCTAGTCTACTTACAGTAAGGAAATCCTTCCATGAAGAAATTCTCATGGTGGACAAGATATGTGTCGGTGGTGCCCCCACCAAACTGATTCAACAGCAGGCAGCTGGGGAGATGCGGTCAGAGAGCTTTCATTGGGCTGTCAGGACATCCTTCCCTCCTTTCTCTTCATCTCTTACCAACCTCAGTCCTCATCCTTGCTATTTCAACACTTTCTTCCTGGTTGAGCAAAAAGATCTTCTAAAATTAAGAACAAGTTCTCTGTGGGCCAGATGAAATCTTGGTGCTAAGCGCCAGAGAAATAAAATTTGGTCCTACCATATAACTCTGAGTGTCTGATGAAACAATAAAATTGGTCAGTGGGTATGATGTGTTGGGCTTTTTATGCTGGTTAACTCAGGAGGCCTCACAGCTAGTCATGTCATATCCTCCTGTGACATGGGTCAAGAATCTAAGCCTGGGGGTGCTGAGCGGCTCCTTCGGTTGAGCAACCAACTCTGGATTTTGGCTCAGGTCATGATCTCGAGGTTGTGAGACTGACCCCCACATTGGGCTCCACGCTCAGTGCGGAGTCTGCTTGTCCTTCTCCCTCTGCTCCTCCCCCCACTCACACTCTTGCTCAAAAATAAATGAATGAATCTTAAAAAAAAAAAAACAAAACAGAAACTTATCCTTGGAAAAGTCAAATGACTTGTTCAGTCACACAGCTGGTGGGTGGAAGCATCAAGACAGGATCCAGGTTTCTCAGATACATGGTGCATATATGAATATGATCAGAGCAAATCAAAAGACCCACTCCCAGCTTGCAACCATTTCATTCTTCCGCTTTATTTTCCACTTTAGTTTAGGAGACTGCTCTCAAAGAAGAGTAAAAATAGAATCAAAGCTCCAGTTCGATGTTACTCGCCAATCCCATCACAGTTTTTACCTCCAACTCTTACTGTTTTGTTTTTTTTTTTCTAGCTCAGGGGATGAGGTGAAACTGTGTTGGTCCCTTCACACCCCTCTCCCCCAACAAACCCCAAATGTCTATCTATGCTGTGTTAATCTGGTGGTTACCATTAATCATCTTTACCAAGCACACTGTTACAGTACAAGACACAAACTAGCCAGAGGCATTAATGTGAAGCAATAGCAGTTTCACTTTGTTAAGGAAACTCTTGAATATCCACAGGGTGGATATTCATGGAACAAATATTAAGGTGTGTATTTTAGCACTCCCTACACCTGAAGATGCTAGTGTGTGTGTGGAGGGGGGCACTGGAAAAGGGAGAGGTCGTTTTCTTCTATATGCTTCAGCCCATGTACTGTCACTGTCTCGAGGTCTTGGCAACTCTGGCAAGTGAAACGGTCCTTAGACAACACTCAGAATTCTTTATTTATCTTCTCTCAGTCAGATTTAAACAAACTGTCACCCTCTGAATTAAACACTGTCTTGGGGGATGCCTCCATTGACCTGCGTCAGGATGATCTGCTGCCACTTCCAGAGTCCAGAGCCCAGCCTTCACGTAGCCCCTCTTCTCCAGAGTTATGAGAAAGCTGTCACCTCCAACTACAACCTCTCCACTACCCAGACGTTTCAAAATACCCTGATGGAAAGAAAGAAAAGTCACTTAGGATACACACCTTTTTTTTTTTCTCCTAAAAGCAGTCTCCAATTTTAGGAAAAGTGGTACTGTTTTCTTACAGCTCCAGTTCCATTAAAATCCTCAACGTCTAATAATATTTCAGAAAGATTGAGTATATTATATTTCTTGGACACTCCAGATATTCGTTTTGTGCAAAGTGCTGTGAATAGTTTTTCTCAAATAACATTTAATCTGAGTCAAGTTATAGTGAAAGTGCTGATTCTATGATAATTAGTTTGGTTTTTCAACATGTTTGTGGCAGACAGTGATAGTTGCCTAATTAATATGTATTTTCTCTCCTCTTCTCTGTTAATGTATTTCATTTGGGGAGACAAGTGTCCCTAACTTAAAACAAATCCTTGGGCTCCCTTGCTCCTAGGGGTGGCCATTTGACATGGTGTTGGCCAGTGAGACATAGGTGGAAGTCAGTTAAAGATTTCTGAAAAGTTTTGCTTTCCTGATGTAGAGGGGTACTGCCTTCTAAAAATCTGGGCATTTTTCCTTTTCCTTCCTATTTGGAATGTTACCATAAGTCCTGGAGGAACAGCAGTCATCTTTTACCCATCCCATTGGAAGCTGACTAAAAGCTGGTGTAACTAGCAGCAGTGTGTGTGTGTGTGTGTGTGTGTGTGTGTGTGTTAATAACAACTTTGAGTAGCTAGCTGCAGCAACCAAGGATTGTAAGACCTCATGTTAGGTGGAAAAAATAGACTCTTTTTTGTGTAACCACTACACACAATCCTAAGGGACACATAGTTTCATAACAATGCCCTACATTTTCCAGCATGTTCACATACATGTTTTTATTTGGTACTCTGGACAACTCTATGAGCTAGGTAAGGCAGATGGTTTTTATTCCCATTTTATAAATGAGGAAACAGACATTCAGAGAGGCTAAGTGACTTGTCCAAGGTCACAGAGCTAAGCATGTAAAAAAGTAGACTTTGGATCTTCTAAATTCCTAATCTAGCCTCTTTCTACTCCCACTTCTCTGTTGGGCCCAGCCATACTTGTATGCAGAGCAGTTCTCCAAGGCCTTACAGTTTCCATTGTCTAAAGGGTGACTCCCCCAGATACCTGCATGGGTCACCCTCTTACTTCCTTCAGGACTTTGGTCAAGGGTCATCTTTTCAGGGAGGGCTTTGCTGACCATCTTTTAGAAACACTGCAAACACCCCCATGGCCATCCCCATTCCTCTTGTATAGACTGCCTTAGTTAAAGGTAGGGGTTTTTAAAAAATTTTTTAAGATTTTTAATTTATTTATTTGTCAGAGAGAGAGAGAAAAAGAGAACACAAATAGGAGGAGTGGTAGGCAGAGGGAGAAGCAGACTCCCTGCTGAGCAGGGAGCCTGATGCAAGGCTCGATCCCAGGACCCTGGGATCACGACCTGAGCTGAAGGTAGACGCTTAAAGACTGAGCCACCCAGGCATCCCGAGATACAACCTTTTATTGAAAATCAAGGTCAGTTCATTTCAGCCCGTGTACGGCTGGACACAGAGCAATGCATGAGTGGGGGAGAAAAGCATCTAGTTGCTTCTTCTAACCAGTCTGCAGTCCCAGAAGGTACATTAGCAAGGCTTGTACTTGAGGCCACCTTATCCACAGCATCTCCATTTTGGAATGGAATTTGGAAGTGGGATGGAGACCAGCTGTGTTAACTGTGTTAGCCAAAGACACTGTTTTGACAGAGAGGGCTCCCGACTCTGGGTACTTTTTCCATACTTCATATCTAAAAATGAATTTTAGATGAATGTGGAAGAAATGTTAAGATTTATTATGACTCTCACCTCTTTCTCTCTTCTATACAATGCAATTCACCCTTTTAATTCTGAACTTTTGAAACATAAAAAGGACTTCAACTTTAAACTCTCCCAAGACCTTTCCACCTGCCAGGTGTAGTTCCAGGCAAGAGGGATAGGATAATACACCTTGGAATAAGATGAGGTCCCTGCCCTCAAGAAACCCAATGTCTGGCCACCTTGGGGAAAGCCGGGGTGTCAAAAAGTCCTCACAACTCGCGTGATAAATAAATGCTGCAGAGGACTATGGAAGAGAGAATCAGAAGCAGAGTCGTTTGCATAAAATGTTGTCTTGAAAAATCTAACACTTCAGTTCAGTTAACCATGTTAAGAATCAAATTTAGTTCTAGAGGGGGAAAAACACTGCCATACAATCTGGGTGTTACAGGATAGTATCTCACCTCCCACATCCAGTCTGTCCCAGGGTTATGACAAGTGTATCTATTTAACACTTCTTAGAAGTGAAGCCCCCTCCCGTCCTCAGTGCCCCTACATTGTTGAAATGGCCTCCATCTCACTCCAGCCCACTCCGGCATATCTTCCGTTGCCGCAGAGTGAAACCCTGCCTGACCTACTCTCATCTGGGATTGCCTCCTGCTTTGTTCTGCCTAAGGCCAAACACCATCCATTCCTGCATCTATCACCTGTATTGCACGATCTGGTTACCTTCCCGTCTCCTCTGTTTGGCTTTAAAATGCTTGAGGCTCAGGTGACAAATCTCATTTGTCTCTCTCCCTACCACCGCATATGGCAGCTCACCAAGAGTAGGCCCTTCATAAACTGTGCCAAGAGTTAGCAGACAGGGAAGACTTTTGAAAATGTCCCTTGTTTCATAAATGCTGCAAGTCTGGTCCTGAAGAGGGGAAAAAATGGCACTCTGGAACAGAAAATTAGCTAGGGTTTTAAGAAAATGACAGAGCTTATTTTGATTGTATCCTCGTGATAACAAGTCAAGGCATTTTGATCTGTCACCTAGAGGTTTGTCCAAAATTTTAAATTTTGCCTGTTTTCTAAATAGCCATTAGCAAAATAACCACATCATCAAGATTTGAATTCAGAGCATCTTTTAGTTCTTCCTTCACTGCTCTATTTACCACCTCAATTATTTACTACACCAGGAGGATCTAAAGACAGCGCTAGTATGACGGAGGACTGTGGAAAACACAGATCACTGTAAATTTACTTCCAGTACATTTCTATTTTCATTCCATTCTGTCTTTCATTTTGGCAGTGACTCTGCCTCAGAGCTGACAGTGAGCTCCGAGAAGCATTTTTTCTTCATTTTTGCAGACCTCAGTCTCTAGACTTCTGGATTTAAGGTCTGGCTCCCAGGTGACTCTGTTCACACACAGAAGAGCAGACCAATTTCACCCTTTGGCGGGAGGCTACCAGGCACCCATTCTGCCTGAAGCTGCCACTAGGACTGCTCTTGGGGATTAATGAGGCTACTGGAGGTGTCCCCTGTGGCAATCAAATGAATTCTTAAGATGTACCTGTTAGCTGACAGGAGAGGTGAGATTAGGTGATTTCCACTAACATTTTAACTCTCGGGTACACATTAGCATGGGTTATCATATGATAGTCTTGGTGTTACAAGAGCAGGGGCTGGGAAGAAATTGGACGGGGACAGCATATTTTAAAAATCTTTTTTAAAAAAATGAGCTCAAGGTGAGCACAGTATTACAGAAGATTTAGAGGAAGAAATCAGCACAATGTCTTTATCTTTTTATTAAGCTCATTTTCTTCAATGCCCATATTTTACGTTCATAATCAGAAAAACATATCCAAAGATTTTTTCATTAATTGTTAAACCCATGTTGCATATCTTATGTAATTATCACCATTATTATTTCCTTCCTTGCAATGCATATATAAATATTTTTACGTAGTTGAGATCAGTCCATGACAAAGTATAACTCCTTTCATAAGGTAACATTGCCAAAGCAGTTTGCTTGTTCCCATACTTAGCTTCTTAATTGGCTGCCTAATAAGTTGGTAAGTGGGTGCACCTTTATTTAGGGAGCCCACCATCGTTGGGCACCTTGGTTATTCCTAACTTTTTATTATAAACAGATCAGTGGTTCACATTTCCACAGCTATATAGCTGCTCCCTTCCCCACCCTTACTGAATTTTGGGGCACAGGTGGGTTGCTTTGAGGGATCCTGGAGATGTCCTGCGTCCAAGTTCATGCCTTTCCTAATTTTGTTTTGTCACCCCTTCTCCTCAGCAAGCACACAGCCAGCAGAGAAGCAGGGAAGGGTGTGGTGGGAACAAGGCTCACAGCTGGTGAGCAGATGGGGAATGAAGCCTAGAGAAGGGGTCAGGAAGACCCATCTGACTGATGAGAGGAGGCCGAGCCCCTCCAAACCACCCTATGCACCCCCCTACCTGGGCATCCCCCTACATACCACCTTTCTGCAGCCTCGGGTATGGGAGGGTCTGCACCCGGGACTGGTTTCAGGCCAGCCCCCCGCTTGCAGGGCCAGGCCACCACCCTTCCCAAAACGTGAGGGAACCGAGCTCTGGGGCAAGTTGACCCGAAGACCTGACGGTGTTGGTGGGCTGAGGATAGAAAATGTGAGCATGGCCCCTGAATCCGAAACTGGACTTCACCCTCCTCCTTTACCCTGTAGTAGAATGGGGTGACCTTGAGCTAGTTGCCGGACTCTCTGGGCCTCAGTTTCCTCATCTGAAAAATGGGAATAATCGTGAAAACGCGATAATTTGCATAAAGCAGTCTCGCAGCATGGGGCACCGGGTCAGGGCTCCATAAATGCTACCCAAAATTATCTAATCCTGTCGCCAAGGTGGCATTGTCACCCCCCGGCAACTGTCGATCGCGGAAACCCAGGCGCGGAGCCGTCTAGGTTCCCAGCCAAGAGCTGAGGTGGGGTTTGAACTTCAGGCACCGGGAGCCCTGTGGCCCGAGGGGCTGAATACCTCGCCGACGCCCGGAAACTCACCTTTTTGGCCCCGGGGACTCCGGCCGGTGCCATCCCGCCGCGACTGTGTGGGCGCCGGGTCTGGGAGAGCGCGCCAGCCCTCGAGCCCGCCCCTCGCCCCGGGGGAGGGTTCCCTCTCTCAGCGGAGCGGCCGGCCCCGCCGCCCCAGGGTTTCGGCTGGCCTCGGAGCTGCTGCCCGCGCCCTCGGCCTCGGCCTCCCTGGCCTCGCCATGCTCCGCTCCGGCGCACAGCGGCTGCGGGGCCTCCCTCTGCAGAGCCTCCCGCTGCGGGGCTCCCCCGGCCGCCAGCGCTCAGCCTGCGGCCGCCAAGGGTGAGTGGAGGCCCGGCCAGTGCTGAGGCCCGAGGCTGGGTGGCTGCGGGGCGGGAGCGAGGGCCTGAGGCAGTGTGCCGGGTCAGGGGCGCTTTGGCCTCCAAGAAGTGGGCGTTTGGATTTCTTCTAGATTTCTCTGTTTTCTTTTACATGCACCCACATACAAAGTGAAATAGTATTCAAGGGTTCCCAATGCGAAGCCACTCCTACCTCCATCTTTTTCCCTAGTCAGCTGTTAACAGTGTCCTCTGAATCCCACCCCCCCCCATCGTCTGTGTATAAGCAAACAGGGGTGTATATATATTCCTCTTCTTAATTACACCTTGCCTTTCACAGTGTGTCTTGGAGAAGTTCACGATCCAGCTAGGAAGAATGTCATGCAAATAAATATATTGAACCCCTGAGCAATAATTATAAAATGAGAGAAGAACGTGAGCAGTGAGGAAATTAAGTGAGAAAGTAACATTTTACTCCACCTGTCTCTTCAGCCTGGAACACAGTGGATGGAGGAGGAGATCAAGGTTTATAGAAGCTAATCTTCACGTTGATTAGGGGTTTTCATGGAATAAAATGATTATAAGTGTGTTCTTTACGTAGACTGAGAAAAATTATTCTCTACATCCTTTGGAAATTAAAAAAAAAAAAAAGGTCACCTTCAATTCTTTAGTTCTGTTAGTTTCAATGGACCAGAATTATATGGAATGGGGATCACATGCCTCCTCTTCCTTCCCCTAACCAGGTTGCATCAGTCAGGATTTAGATGTCCTAAATGATTAAAGCAGCACAATGCCAACCTCCCAGGCACTGTTAAGGTATTAGAGAAACCAGGAGAAACACATGAGTCAGAAAAACTATAGCTACGACTGCCTAGGAAAACTACCATTTAAAAAAATTGTCTTCCAGAGAGGAGAATGCACCCTTATCTGCAGAAACAAGATGGAAAGACAGAGCAGAAACTGTGATCATTGGAGGCGGCTGTGTTGGTGTGAGTCTGGCTTATCATCTCGCCAAAGCAGGGATGAAAGATGTGGTCCTCCTGGAAAAATCTGAGCTCACGGCTGGATCTACCTGGCACGCAGTAAGAAAAGCACCTCGAAACCATCTCAGGCATTGAACCATGCACCAGGGAAATCACTCTTCTTCCCCCTTAGAACTCCCCACTTCGAGCTCTGTAGAGCAAGTTTCCTTTCAGTCATGTTGGAAGGTGCAATTACAGTTTAGTTGGTGTACTTCCAGGGCATGATCAACATTTTTAATGTCTTTTTCTTGGACATGTGGTTTCCGAATTCAACCCTGGCTCCGCCATTTTCTACCCAGCTGACTTGGGACCTTGTTACTTAAGCTTCCATTCCTGCTGGGCAGAAAGGGGCCATCAACAGCACCTACCCAATAGGGTTGTCACGAAGGTTGAGTTAATATGTGTAAAGTTATTAAACACATGGTAAATGTTTAGCAAGTGTTAGCTTTTGTGTGGAAAGATCCTGGCTGCCTGATCCTGGCTGCCTGATCTCAAACATAGCAGGAGACCTTTCCCTAAACTCCCCTCACCTGGGTTTCATGGTCCTTTTGCTTTTATGATTTTAATTCCACACTGTGAGTCGGCAGCTTGGCTTCATGAAGTTGAGAACTATGAGGGCTGGGAACATGCGACATTGTTTTCAAAAGTGTTGTCTAAATAGACACATAGCCTAGGCAATCGGAAGTATTTAATGATACACATAATTGTTCCTGTGCTACACAGTAATTGGGCTGAAATGGAAAGTTGCTCAGGTAAAGGAAGTGATTGACACTGCTTTCATACCAGTATGTCATCCCAATGATTTCTGAAGTCAGCTAAGGATGGGAGAGAAAGTTTTGGTGACTGTTGGTACAAATCTCTTTTGGAGAAAGGGTTGAGCAGTGTTAGCCATGGCTCGTCATCCCTTTGTGTCTCTAGTTTTCCTCTGCTGAGACAAGAGGGAACCCTGCTTTTCGGGGACTCTTGAATCTCGGACCCACTCTAGGTTTGGGGGTTGTCAAGTACTGAAAGAGCTGCCTGTCTTGTGCTGAAATTGGGGGAGAGTGCAGCCCAGATTTAGGCCCAGTTGGGCCCAGCGTCCCAGTGGTCTCATAGTCAGACCACACCCACTGACTGGATGGAGACTTCTGGAAAAGTCATGCCAAGTCCAGCTCCTCTCCCTGTCTCTTTTCCCTCCAATCCCCTCATCCTTCAGTCCGAGCAGGAGGTGCAGGTACCTGGTCCTCCCTCAGTGTCCTTTCAGAGCCTTTATAGGCACACTGGCTCTCGTTTCCTCAGTTGTCCCTCAGCTCACTTCCTCCTACCTGGAGAGAGGGGTCTGGGAAGCCACCAACACTCCTGGCTCTACCCCACTCCCTGAACTAGACTTTCGAGGTGGCTTCATATTGTCACACAGGAGGAAGCCTGCATTTCTCCTGTGGCTCTCCTGTAACTTCTCCTTAGTGGCCATTTGCTTATTCTTTCAACATTAGTGACTGAGAGGCTGTATTGGGTTCAGGCCAGTCCTATTCTAAGAGGTGAGGACACAACAGGGAAAAATGAATGCCTGCACCCCCAGAGCCACATTCTGTGAAGCAGACAGAGAACACACAAGCAATGCTTGAGAGTAATCAGTGCCGTGAAGAAGAGGAAGGTGGGATAAGGGGATGAAGAACAATGGGATGGAGAAGTCAGGACGCTACTTTGAGGAGGTGATGCCTCAGCACAGACCGGGAAGAAGTGAGCAAGGGTGTGGTGAGGCTGTCCAGGTAAGGGCATGTAGGCAGGGGGAAATTTAGGCAAATGGAGATATTCTGAGAGAGAGGCTTACACCCTTTTAAGACTTCTGGATGGTTAAGGAGGGCATGTGTTTCAGTATTTTAATTACAGATTTGATCCTTTATATTTGATTGATTTGATGTGGCCTATGTTTTACAATAGATTATTGGACTCCCTGCATTATTACTTCTTAGACATCCTGTTAACGAAAACTCAAAAAAGCAATGTACTCCTAACCTGAGTTTTTTCAGGAGAAGTGGGCAAAGTTCTTAAGATGATAGCTTCTTGTTAAATGTTAACTGTGCAGAATAATTTCCCCTTAACCAGAGAGATACCAGAGTGAGTGGGAAAGGCATGCTCCTGCTTTGTGCACAAGGTATTATGCTCTACAGTTTACAAAAAGAGACCCAGGCAGTGTGAGCTCAACATGGACTCAGGCATCAGGAGCCAGATTATTTGACCCCCTGGGGATAAAGGAAAAAGCAACATGAAGAAGTTCCACATATTCGTAATTTTTAACACAGAGAAGTATTTAGAGCAGATTTGAGAATGTGGAAGGCTGGGGAGCCAGCTAAAGGGGCAGATTACAAAAATCTAGGCAGCATCACTGAAACATGACACGTGCTCAAGGTTAAACGTATCTGTAAAGTACAGGAATCAAATACTTATGGAGGAAGGCACAGCTTGCAAAATGAATATTTAAAATGGAGTCACAAATCCCCAAATCCTGAGGCTTTGCTGTATTTTAACAAGACTGCTTTGTCAGCAGGTGCCACGACTACCAATTTAGAACATTTCATGTAGGATGGAGGGAAAGGGGAGAGGATGGAGGGAGAAGCAGCTTTGGAGCATGGGGCGCCCAGGAGAGGAAGTCCCTGGGGATGGTGACAAAGTGAATATTCTGGAGAACTGAGGACTGAAGATCTAAAGATGCACAGTGATCCATTCAGGACGGAGGGAGACAATACTAGAACTTTCTATTCATTTTCATCTAAAAATGTAACAAAGAAATTAAGCTTTACTGGTCTTTATAAATAGCCTTCACTTATGATGCAGGTGACATACTGGGTATGATTCCAAGGTTCACTAAAAGGAAGGTCGGCACCACAAAGGAGGCACCCCTATACTTTGTTTTTCTTTAGTCTACCATGACATAATGTAGATCAGGTGCTATAGAGAATCACTGTTGTGATGAATTGAATGGAAACAGGGGTTTAAATAATACAATTTGTGATGAAAGGGAGAGGGAATGAACTTGAAAGTGTTGTGCCACATCTCATACAATAATTTAAAGGGTTGTGAAACAACATTTTTCTTTCTTTTTTTAAAGATTTTATTTATTTATTTGACAGAGAGTAGAGAGATCATAAGTAGGCAGAGAGGCAGGCAGAGAGAGCGGGGTGGGGGGTGAGGGGGGGAAGCAGGCTCCCTGCTGAGCAGAAAGCCCGATGTGGGGCTCGATCCCAGGACCTTGGGATCATGACCTGAGCTGAAGGCAGAGGCTTTAACCCACTGAGCCACTCAGGTGCCCCCAAAATTTTTCTTTTACAAAAAGACAAGTGTCCTAAATCTAGTGACCTTTGTAGTGATGAAAATGGCTGCCAGTCATTTCCATGTAGCAGATACACATTAAAAAAAAAAAAAAAAAAAGAATGCAAGCTCTCCTTTCAAAGTAAAGATGATATTTTAAGTGAGAAATAACTGCTTTCTGCAAAACAGTCCTTTTGGGAAGAGAGCATTTTGAAAAGAGATGTTTTGAAATGTTGGCTTCATTATTAGATTTTTCTGGCCAAAATGATACGTATCTAGAAAAACTCTCATATATATACAAGAGATAAATTTTTCAACACATCTAAGATTTTTCCAAATGATGAGTTTCAGTGGGACTTGTACCCATATATTTAAAATACAAAAATGCGGTGACTTCCAATTAGCTCATAAAACAACTGCTGGACAAGAGTACATGAAAGGTGACTAGTCAATCAAGTTACAACAGAAACGTTTGTGTAGG